ATTCATAATCATTACTTCTGCCGGTGTGCTGTAGCAAGCTTTATGTGTGCGCGTGAGTGCTTATTAGGCTATGTAGGCAATTAAAGGCTTATTATAATGATTTAAATGGCTTATTAATAAGCGTGCGATTAGTCGACTAATGCTTCAAATGAACGACTACTAGTCGACCAGAAAAATACTTAGTCGAGGACAGCCCTAATATATATATATATATATATATGTGTGTGTGTGTGTTGCTCTTCCTGTAGCTTTAGCAGGAAACCTGAAGATGTCAAGTCAGCACATGCTGAGATCTCCATCTCGGTTACATGAGGTCTGTTCAGAGAGAATCGCTCAGAAACAAAAAACACTCTCATTTGAGCCTCTGGAGGATAAAGGAAGCGACTATTTCCCCATAAACTGGGTCAAGTTATGACTCATTCATGGGGCTATTGGAGTTTGGCATATGGGTCACCGGTGTATTACAAGTAATACAAGTTATGCAATCAGATTACTTTTTTAAAGTAACTAGTAAACCATTACTTTTCAATTTACAAGAGAGTCTGTGTTACTTTTTCAAATAAGTTACGCCAATTACGTTGTGTGAACATGATGTTACGGTATCTCTAGACTTCCCCGGTATTCACCAAAAAGTTTACTTTTAGTTTTTACATTTACAAAACAAACAAGCAAGACCAGCCCAGACGAGAAAATGTTAGCAAAAGTAACACAACACATTACGTTTCCATAAAAAGTAACTAAGACTCACATTAAAAAATATCATAGTGATTTATAGTGTTTTACTATAGTAAAGCACTTGAATTAAAGTGTTGTGGTAACTCTGTAGTTGCTGTGATAATATAACAACCATAGTAATATAAACTAATTACTGTACTAGGTTTTCTACAACTATAGGGTATATTATACTACAACACACTAGTTTACTGGAGTAAAAACTAAAGCATACTACAGTATTTATTAATAGTCTATCAGTTCACTATAGTTAATACTACAATATGGTTCAAAAACACTATAGCATTTACTATTTTTCAGACCCAATCCGCTACTTTTTAGAGAGTAACGCGATATTGTAACGCAATACTTTTAAAAGTAACGTTCCCCAACACAGCTGTATGAAAAACTAAATCTGCATTAACTTGCGTTGCCTAGACACAAAACAGGTTTGTAAGGACACGGAGGTGAATAAATAGCCATCTAGTGTTGCTTTTTGAGCGCACTATGCCTTTAAGAACACGTCAACACTTCAGCAGACGGTTAGCGTTTGACCAGCAGTGACTTTCTGATCGTATGGCGGACGGTTTCGAATTCATCTACACACAGTTAAACTTGAATTAACGATCTGAAAGAACTTGACTAATTAGTTCGTGTTGCACTAGTGCGGTGTTGTTAGGAGAGCCGCTGTGACCTGCCCACGAAGTTCTCCAGCACCGAGCTCTTGCCGGCGCTCTGGCCGCCCACCACCGCGATCTGCGGCAGCTCCAGGTGGCAGCTCTGGCCGATGCAGCTGAACGCGTCCTGCAGCTTATTAATGAGGGGGATCAGCTCCTCCATCCCGCGGTTCCCCATGACCAGCTTCTCGCAGACGCTACAAACCCCGGAGAAACTCCACCGATCACTTCTCGTCCGGTCAGCAGACCATCATCAACTTCTGAAGAACGACCCTTGTCTGCCAACCGCGCGTTTCTATTGGCCACCGCGGATGTCTGTCAAGCTCGACGAGAGCGCCATTGGCGGACAGTAGGGAAATGGGCGGGGCGATAGAGGCAATGATTAGTTTAACCCGTTTTCCGTTACATGTGAAATACAAGTACTTTTCGATTCCTGTAGTGTTTTGCTAATAGCTAATACTTACCTTAAAGCCGATATATCGAATTGTAGTTATGTGCAGAGTTGCCAACTTAGGCATTTTGTTGCTAGATTTAGCAACTTTTCAGACCAAAAGCACCTAGCAACAAATTTAGCTTTTTTTTGTATTTATTTGGCAACATTTAGCAACTTTTGATAAGTGACTCAAACGATAAAAAGGCACACATTTTCCATCTAGATTACACGAAAATTGGAAACCAAAGGTGCCTAGCAGTACACAATTCACATTAAGTTGGCTGCTATTAGCAATTGTTTAATTTAATAATAATAATTGTTAATTTATGATACACCTTGTTAGTAGCTTGTACTTGAGTTTGTTGATCAGTTAGTGCACGGTAAGAAAAATATCTAGAAAAATGAAAAAGGTAGTAATTTTCCAGGACATTATCCGTTATCCATTGTAACCCGAAAACGCAAAATACAATGCGTAATTTAAAATGTAGGTAAAAAAAACGTGTGAGTAATAATTACGGAAAATTCCTGCATGTTAATATATATTACAGACTTTTCTTAGAGTGTAGCATACGAACTACTAATACACTGCTTAAAACTATAATCGTTCAGAATGAGTAGTTTTACTAGTTTACTAGCTAATAAAAATAAACTTAAATTGTTAAAAAATGTGAGTGTTTAATAATTCAATGCTGTATTTAAAATTAGTCATTTATATTATTTTATAAACGCATCTAAATGAACATATTTACTTTTTTTTTTTTTTGCTGAGATTTGATGCAGTGACACAATTTTGCATCGTGATTACGCAATGACGTCACCGCGTCATTTAGCAACTTTTAGCAACAAATCAACCTTCCTTTAGCAACTTCCCCTGAAAATTAGTTGGCAACACTGCGTATGTGTATAATTTACGTGAGTTTAGGAAATTGTTGGTGTTAAAGTTGGTCAATATATATAATGAATGAAAATCACTTGAAATGTCCGGGTCACATTACGCCCACCATCAAAAGAAAAATTATATATCTATATTGCTAAAGAAAGTCTAATTTAAGACCATTTAGATGCTTCTCGGCAATAACCGCCTTTCTGAAGCCCCGCCTAAAAATCCGTCATTGACCGTTATTCTGACTGTTACCAACACTATCAGATTGTCTTTTGCTCTTCTAATACAAGTCTGTTTCAAGTGCGATGTTTTAGTATTATGAGAATTCAAATATACAGGACATGTAGGGTATATGGGGCCAATTTGATTTGATTTGGGGAAAAAAACAAAAAAAAAGTTCCTATATTGGCTTCATTTACTTGAAACATGATATTCTTGACCGATTTCGTAAGAAGTGTCCAATCATCTACAGCTTCTCCACAACAGGACAGTTGTGAGTACAATATTTATGCAAAAGTTCCTCTTATTTAATAGTTCTGTTTACAAACTGGTAATTTTGAGTACATCAGACTTTTAGATGATTAGTCCACATTTTTATTCTGTAATTGAAAAAATTAAAGAAAAAAATCCAAGGTATATGAGGGAAATCTCACTTATGACATTAAATCAAAATTGACAAGTTGAAATTCTAACAAAACACGAAAAGTTCCGTTTTGACCTAGAAAGTCATAATTTTGACTATTTCTCATTATCGTTATTGTGTGTGTATACATTCTTTTTTCTAGTTTTGCAAAAATGTACATATAAATGATGAAATGAAAGCAACTGCAGAAATAAAGGCTCCGACCAGCTTAAGACCAGCACATGACCATCTAAGGACCAGTTTAAACCAGCATCTTTGTGTTCATACCCAAGCAATTTTCGCTGCACATGAGCCGAGTGAACGTGCAAATTCACTCCCTCACATTAGATGGCGCTTAATGAAAAACAGAAATACCCCGGGACACATCGAATACTGTTTGATCTGCAATTCCTCTCCATAACAACTCCCTCTTATCGAGATTTTTGTAGTCGCTGTCACGTTTGTCATAAAGCCCTTTGTGTTCAGACACCAATGAGACCAGCAGCTCTACATTCATCTTGCCTCGATGCATCTTCTTGGTCTACTTACTTTCTCTTCGTCGTTAGGTATCAATGTGTGCTCGGCAAGACCGTTTTGTGCTTGAGCGCCACCAAGTTGTGTTTTACTGTAACTTCAGCAGCTCCAGGCACGTGAACAAAAGCGCCAATCTCATTGGTCGGCCATTTTTTAACGCGGTGTGTCAAACCAAAAAATAAAACTAGCCTGAGGTGTTTTTTTTTTTAAATGCTGCTTTTATACCTGGCGTTTTGCACGTCAGTGCCCACACTCACATTGGCGCCCCTTGTTTAGTCACGAATCGTTAAACGTCTGCGATAATCGCACGTGATAATCGTCCCGGAGTGCACAAGCCTTAAGGTTTCTCTCCTGTACGAACTCGCTGATTGGACCTTAAGGACGTCTGATCGAGCAAACCATTCTGTGAACGTGAGGACATGTTCTTTGTGAAGACCAAAGGTCAAAAGGGTTTAGAAGGAATCTCAGTCTGGTCTTTGTCTTCTAGGTGGGGGGAAACCACCCAACGCAGTCTGTGGAATGAGGAATGATTTTCCTCATGTGATGGTCATGATATGCTGCGTCTTTGACCATTAATCTTGGTTACTTGCCCCAAATTTGAGAAACTCCTTCCTGAGTTGGAACTATCAATAAGTGTTAATTTTTTAATGCTGTGAGCTGCTCAAAGATGCTAGTTCATTAAAAAAGTCCTGTCCTTTTTTTTCTTGTGAGCCAAAGGTGGCGCTCTACTGACACCATACCTGCCATGGACCTACCCACTGCACGAGCCGCATGTTTGGTAGCTCGAAGCGCCAAATCCATAGCTCGCCTGAGCGCTTTAACAGCCTTTGAGGTCAGGCCTTCTCCCTCATCCAGCTCCTTGAGCACATCCACTTGATAAGCCTGAAGCACGCCCATAGAGTGAAGCATAGCCGCGGCCTGCCCAGAAGCCATGTAAGATTTGCAGACTAAAGCAGAAGTAACACGGCTTGGACGGCAACAGGGGCGTGACTTCCATTATGGAGCGGAGTTTGGCTCTACGGTCGGCATCGCCGCATAACCGTGTTCTGCCATTTTAGAAATAGTGGCGTCATACAGATTAGTCATACGGGCCGAAAAAGATTGTTTCCAAGACCTCGAAACCTCATGGTGGAGGTCTTGGAAGATAGGGAAAGGCCTACGGGGTTGGGATGGAGTGCGGCTAGTCAAGAAACAAGAGGATGATTGTAGGAAAATGGCTAGGGCACTACAATGACAGACATAATAATTACTTTGACCTGTTTTCATTACAATTATGCAATTCTTAAGTACATAGAACTGTATGTGTCCGAGGTAATTTACGTGAGTTCAGGAAATTGCTGGTGTTAAAGCTGCTAGTCAAGCTAATTTAGTGACTCGCAAAAAAAAAATATCTGGGGCATATTTCACCCAAAATTAAACCAAAAATGACCATTTAGAAGCATCGTGACAATAACTGACCCTTTCTGAAGCCCTGCCTTAAATACGTTTTTGACCGTTACTCTGACAGCAACTGTGTGTTACCATTACAGACGATCTTTTGCTCTTCTATGTTTAAGCCCGTTTTAAAATATTTATGTATAATATACAGTATATGAATAGAACATGGGGGAAATTTAATCAAAGTTGTCACATGCCAAAAAAAAACCCCTTAAAGGTCCCATATTGTCAAAACTGAAATTTCCTGGCTTTTTTCATGATAACTGAGGTCTAGGTGCTATGTAACTACCATATAAGTTTCAAAACAGTCAGTCCACAGTAAAATTCACACAGCCTGCTTAAAGTAGCTGTGATTTTTCACGAACCGTTGTGACTTCCGTAAAAAGTTGACGTCAGAACTACACAGTCACCGCCCACCGTCCCACTCTCCTTTTGCCAAACCCCCAGACAACATCGCGGAAACATGTCGAAAAGGTTAACTTTAACCACGAAACCAGATCGGCCGACCTGTAAGGTTACACTCTCACTCAAAGGATGGACGACCTGACAGGATTGTTACTGTGAGGTGGATCACATCTAACCTGTATAGTAAAGACAAACTCACCGTGTCTATCTAGTCATGATGAAGATGTGTATACATTTCAATTTCAGCAGGCAAGAAGCGAGGCTCATGAATATTAGAATATAGACCTGTTCTCAGCAGAGCTCCTGAGAAAGGAGATGTAAAAATATATTGAGATGGTTTTTGATACTTATACCGCAAATATATATTCTTAAGGACATTCTTGGCATATTTCATGATGAAGAGCTGTACTGGAAGGAAGATATTCATTTTTTGGAGCATATGCAACAATTAATGCAATGACTTTGAATTTAAGACTTTCTTCTGTGATATGCATGCTGATATTCTCCACATCAGGACAATTGTGTGTCCAATATGTATACAATAATAGTTCTAGTAATTACACAGCTCTGTGGAGTGCTTGATTCTGATTGGTCAGTCACCACATTCCAAGGTACGTTATTCCTTGATAACCGGCGAAAGCTAACAATACAGCCTCATCCAGGTAACTGCAGATGGCGCTATGCACTTGCTAGAAACAGTTTTTTTCTTGGTGAAAGCTTTGCGTTTGGTGAGCTAATAATATATTAAAACTCAATGAAATATTATGTGTACAATTATGTCACTCTGGTATTGCGTTTCATACAAACGCAGCTGCTGCCATTTTGCGACGATAGTTTTGTACACTGTAATGGATTATAAGATAGATAAACTAGTAAGATTTTAAAACAGTTTCATATTAAATCAGTATCTTTTATC